AGGGGCTCTGCTGGGAGGATGGGGGCCCTGTCCACACCTCCTTCGAGCTCACTGATGGCCTCTGCCCTGCCCCCAGCCTGCCACATACTGGAGTGTCCAGAAGGGCTCGCCCAGGATGTCATCAGCACTATTGGCCAGGCCTTCGAGTTGCGCTTCAAACAATACCTCAGGAACCCACCCAAGCTGGTCACCCCTCATGACAGGTGAGCCAGCGGGCCCCAGACTGCGAATGGAAATGTGGCTCTGCTCCTCCCACACTTGAGCTCTGAAAGGTTCAGGGAAGGAAATAACCTGTGGCCCCTGCTTCGCACTTCCTGCCATTCTTATGTTTCTGGTGGCCCATCAGGAAAGTCTTTTGAGGCCTTGGCTGCTGCAAGACCAGTCTGCCTCCTCTTTCCCATGGTGGTGCTGCGTTTCCGCTCCTCCCAACGGCGTCACTTCTCTCTTTCCAGTCTCCTTGCTTCTGGCCCATCCCCATCATTGCCTGCCTCTCCATCCTTTGTTTTCTGCCTCTAACAGCCACCAAGAGTTTGGACTGGGAGGCTCTCTCTCCTTTTTTGAGATCCCTGCCTTTCCTGCATCAGGCTCCATGGGATTAGCAGGAGGCCAGTAGGTTGTTTTTGGAGAGGTTGAACATTTTGGAGCAGCCCCACCCTGCTACACAGTGCTTCCCATCTCTACTGGGAGACACTGTAATAATCGAGGGCATAGCTTAATATTCAAACTTGCTTTATAGTCAAACCTGAATTTAAACAAATAATAATTTTAAAAACATCAGAATTTAAATCTCTGCTGTACTCCCTCTTAGTTGTGAGTCCTCAGGGAAATCTTTTCACCTCTGATTCTCATTTTCCTCATTTTGCAGAGTTAGGGAAGGAGATGTATCAGGTTACAGGGTTGCCAGGAGGATGAAATGATGGGGTTTATAACACCCAACCTTAGGCACAACCCACAGTAAATGCCCAATATGTGGCCACTGTTCTGTTATCCTAGTGTGGCTCCCCAGCCACCACACATTTATACCCATCTCCTCACTCTGTCCTGTCTCTCTCAGGATGGCTGGTTTTGATGGCTCCGCTTGGGATGAGGAGGAGGAAGAGCCACCTGACCATCAGTACTATAATGACTTTCCAGGGAAGGAGCCCCCTCTAGGGGGGGTGGTAGACATGAGGCTTCGGGAAGGAGCCCCTTCAGGAGTTGCTCGCCCCACTCCACCCAGTGTCCAGACCTCTAGCCACCTGGGAGCTACACTGGTAAGTTATTTGGATGGAGGCGCCTGGGCTCAAGTAGGAGTGAGGATCTCTGATCTCACTTGATTTTTATCCCCGCAGCCTGTCGGACAGTCTGCCGGGGGAGACCCAGAAGTCCGTAAACAGATACCACTTCCACCCCCCTGCCCAGGTACAAAGCGGGGGTTGAGGAGGGCAGAGCCAAGGGTGTAAGAGCAGGGCAGGGTCACATTGAGCCTCCCTTTCCTCAGCAGGTAGAGAGCTCTTCGATGATCCCTCCTATGTCAATGTCCAGAACCTAGACAAGGCCCGGCAAGCAGGGGGTGGGGCTGGGCCCCCCAATCCTGCTGTCAATGGCAGTGTACCCCGGGATCTCTTTGATATGAGTGAGTGTATCTGTTTTTGTATCCCCCACCTTCCTTCTGGAGTGCTCCTCTTCTGCCAATCCACTCTCTGCTTTCTTGCTTCCTTTCCTGACGGTSTAGGTCCAGGTGAGTGCTGGGCTAGCTACCTACCCTAACCCTCTCTCTATCCTCTAGAACCCTTTGAAGATGCCCTTCGGGTACCTCCCCAACCCCAGTCCATGTCCATGGCTGAACAGCTCCGAGGGGAGCCCTGGTTCCATGGGAAGCTGAATCGGCGGGAGGCAGAGGCGCTGCTTCAGCTCAACGGGGACTTCCTGGTGCGAGAGAGCACGACCACACCTGGCCAGTACGTGCTCACTGGCCTGCAGAGTGGGCAGCCCAAGCACCTGCTTCTGGTGGATCCYGAGGGTGTGGTGAGTGTGGCAGAATTGTACGGGGCGGGGCAGAAGGGAGATACAGTGTCCTTCCGTGCATTCCTGTTCCTTTCTTCCCTCATTGCTTTCTAGTGCTTTCCCCGCTGGCAGCTCTCTGTGGACCTCCCCTGCTCCTCTAGGTGCCTGGCATCCCTCTCCTGTGGCTTAGAGTTCCATCCTTTCTCATGTCCTTAAGTCTGAGCTGTGTTCTTCCAGTCTTGGCTAGTCCTCAAATCCCCAGACCATAAGCCTGTCAGAGCTAGAAAATACTTATCTGCACCCCTCTTTTCTTTTTTATTTTGTGGTGTGGGGATCGAACCCAGGGCCTTGTGTATGTGAGGCAAGCATTCTGCCAATGGAGCTATACCCCCAGCCCCTGCAGGGAAACCACCCTGGAGTGGTTGTGATGTCCAGTGTTAGATGGTAGAGGCTAGATGCCAAGTTTCCTCTTGTAAGAGGACCTAGGGACCTTCCCAGCTCCTTGTGGACTCAGTGCTCAGTCCATTGTCCCCCTTCTCCTCAAAGCTTTGGTTTCTTTTCTACAGCAATCTCAGCTTTTTTTTTGTATGGTATATCCTCCTCTGAGACATGCCAACTTCCTCCAGGTCCTTCAGCTTCACGATTTGTGGAGTGGTGTCCCCTTCACCTTTTCCCAGTTAATTGACCTAAGCATTCCCATCCATCCATTTCTTTGTAGAAAAGCCTTAATGATTAGGGGTGACATCTTTTCTGCTTCCCCCCCATCTTCTCCTTTCTCAGACCTGTTGACTGTTCCATCTTCTACAACCTTGTGGGCAGAGGTCTYCTGGACTCTTCATTGAACTGACCCTTTTCCTTCACAGGTTCGGACAAAGGATCACCGCTTTGAGAGTGTCAGTCATCTCATCAGCTACCACATGGACAATCATTTGCCCATCATCTCTGCGGGCAGCGAACTGTGTCTACAGCAACCTGTGGAGCGGAAACTGTGATCCTTCCCAGCCTCTCTCCCAGAAGATGCTCTCCAACCCCCTCCACCTTCCTTCCCAACTCTCAGGAACTCACTTGGGAGTGTTCTGTGGGGCTTGGCCTTGGGTAGGAGCTGGGTGTAGTGTGGACTCTGGGTTTAGTATCCAGCTGAGGGAGGATTTGTCAGGAGCCTGGGGTAGAGCCCTGCTTCTCCCCAAACCTCACCAAAGTATTAATGTACAGAGTGGCCTCCTTGCCTGGGCCTTTCCTGTGCCAATCTGATGTTCCCTTCCTCAAGAAGGCAGGTGCTTGTAATGGAACACGCCCTGTGGTGATAAGCCCAGCGAAGCTATCAACCTTCTGGGGAAGCGGAAACAAATCACACCTCTGGTCCACCCTGGGCTTCAGGGTACCCCTGACCCCTCTCAGTCCCCCTCTGCCCTAGTGTTTAAACTTTGTGCCTTTGACCATCTCCTAGGTCTGAAGATATTTTATGCAAAGAGGCCCCTGAATTCAAGGACAGGGGTGCTGACACCTATTTGGCTTTTGGAACCCTGCCCTCTTCTTGTTCAGCATCCCTCCAGTTTGGGATGGGAGAACAGAGGCAGGGCTGGCAGCTGTGTCCCCTCTCCCTGGGGATACAAAACCCTTAGAGATTGCTCCAGAACCCCCCTACCGGCCAGGGGGTAGTTGGACCCCTCCCTGCTCAGTGCCTCCTGGCCGGGGCCCCTCCCACAAGGGGTCTGTATATACATTTCGTAAGCTCCGCCTTTTCCGCCTTTTCTCTGTTGCATGCATGTTTTACTCTACAGCCAAAGTGGCCCTTCGTTCTGTAGCTCCACCCTGCCTCCCCATCTGTGGCAGTGCTGTGGCAGTGTGGGTGGCTGAATTTGGGCCTCCTGTACATACAGTAAACTGACCCAGGTGGGTTTTGTGGAGGCGGGAACAGGGGTATTAAGACTCTAAGGCATTGGACAATCCCCAAATACTATCTGTAGATTTGGAACTGTTTTTACTTTATATGCATATACTTTAGGGCTGTAGATTTATTTTCCTAATCTTGATTTCCATGGCTTTTGAGCACAAAATGATGATAATCGATTACATTTATATATCACCTCTTTGACTTTTCCAAGTCCTTTTACAATTGGCATTTTTCTCAGAGGTAACTAGGACTGGGAGCTTTTTTTTTTTTTTTTTTTAATGTAAGACCTGCAGCAGAAACTGATTTAGTCTTGGGACTGAGTTTGGGTCCCTTACCGTGAGGCTGGGAAGTGTGGCTGAGTATTGGCACAATGTCACGAAGCGGTAGCTTAAAACCTCCAGGTGTGGAGCACCTTCTAGGCGCGACCCTGGAGAGACGGACGGAAGCGGGCCCTGCGGGCTCTCCAGGCCGTGGGGATCCGGGAGGATCACTGTTAAATTCTGGCCGCCGCCTCTTTTTGTTTGGATGTTTCCACGGGTCTCAGTTATACCAAAGGGAAAGTCTTCATTAAAGTCCGTATTTCTTTTACCTCGGCGTCTGAGACCTCGGAAGGCCTATTGTCTGCCGCGGTGCCTGGGCGGCGGGGGATCGCGGGCAGCCCCACCTGGCCTCGCCSGGCCGTGCTCGGTCCGACGCCCGCGTGCAGGAAGCGGGGCTCTGCCGCGTTGACAGGCGGGAGGTGCGGCCAGCCGGCCGGGGGTGTGTCTGCGGAGGGTGCGGGTCCCCGCAGAGCCGGCCACGGCTAGCGGCAGCCGGACCGACGCCTCCGCTGCCTCCCCGAGGCCGGGCCGGCCCGTGCTCCTCGGCGGCCCCCGCCCGGATGGTATGGCCCGGCAGCGGGGGCAGGCGAGGAGCGCTGCCGGCCCTGGGCGAGCTGGCCAGGGCTGCTCCTCCGACGGMAAGCGCCCTCTGCTAGAGTCGTGGCGTGTACGACCTCCTCCCGCCGGGGCTCCCGGGCGGAAGGTCCCGGCCAGTCAGTGCTCCCGCCCCCCCCCCGCCGCCGCGCAAGGTGGTGGCGGCCGAGGCAAGTTCCGGTTCCGGTTGCTGCCGCCGGCGGCGAGCGGTGAATCTGGAGCGAGCGCGCAGTTTGCGCTCCGGGAAGGCGCTTCTCCCTTGCCGCGTCTTCGGCTTGCTGCAGCTCGGGGGCCAGCGCTGTCCGAGTCCCCTTCCCGGCGATGGTGCAGCCTGAGGGCGCCTCCGCCCCCCTCCGCCGCTGACCCCAGTCCCCCACTCCATGGCCGCCTCGGCGCCGCCCCCACCGGACAAGCTGGAGGGAGGTGGCGGCCCCGCACCGCCCCCTGCGCCGCCCAGCACCGGGAGGAAGCAGGGCAAGGCCGGTGAGAGCGCTGAGGGGGCGGGGGTCGGGAGGCCCGGACTCGGGAACCTTCGAGGGGAGGGTCAGTGGTGGTGGGTGGGCCTCTGGCCTCGGGGCCTGCTGGGAGGCTCTGGTCAGAGGATCAGTGGGTTTAGCCCTTCGGGGATGGGGGCAGGTGCCAGGGATGGACTTTGGGGTTTGGAGCCACGTGGGATATCAGGAGTCTTGGAGTAGGGTGATATCAAGACCTGGCATGTCTTTCAAGAGTATGGTCATAGAATTCATTTTTCATATGACTCCTCATTGATATTTGTTAAAATAAACTAGTATATGCTGAATTAACATTAGAGCAGTTCCTGGGAGGAAGGAAGTTTGAAAAACCGTAGGGAAACTTGCTTGCCTCTTCTTTTGCTGCTCTTCCAGGTCTGCAAATGAAGAGCCCAGAAAAGAAGCGAAGAAAGTCAAATACTCAGGTGAATTACCATTGTTGGTGGGTAATTTCAGCAACCCCTGGGGTGCTGTGTCTATTCTGTTTCCATGTTTGGTCTTCTGTTAGGTGCAGGGAGAAGAGAAAACTGTCTTGTTCTGTTTCTGGTCCTTTCTCTCAACCTTATAATAAACTCCATGGGAAATATTCTCCCCCAAGAATGATTTGATCAAAGGTCTTATTGGACAGGGTCACAACCTTCCTCTCCCTCATTTTTCCTGTCCTGGATGATGATAACATAAATTCCATCACTATCAGTCTTTTCTAAATGCCAGGATTGTGCTGAAGTACATTTTTTTGTTTGGGGAGGTAGGCATTGTCTTTTTTTTTTTACAGATAAGAAATCTGAGGCTTAAAAAAAGTTAAATACCTACTTCAGGGCCAAAGCTGGGATTTCTGCTCTCTTTCAAAGCAGTCACGGTGCTGTGATGGCTCTGCTCACCACCCTGTGTTTTTCAGTTGCATGCTAAGACGCATCTTTATTTTAGACCTGAGCTGGTCAGTATCAATCTCCAAAGTGTGTGTTCTGTTTGTTGGTAGGACTCTCCTGGTTTATCTCTGTGTGTCCCTTCATGACCCTCTTCCTCATCTGCTCTCCACTAGGGTCCTGCTTACTCACATCTGACGGAGTTTGCACCACCCCCGACTCCCATGGTGGATCATCTGGTTGCATCCAACCCTTTTGAGGATGACTTCGGAGCCCCYAAGATGGGGGGCGCAGCCCCTCCATTCCTCGGCAGTCCTGTGCCCTTTGGAAGCTTCCGTGTACAAGGGGGCATGGCAGGCCAGGTACCCCCAGGCTATGGCACTGGGGGTGGAGGGGGTCCCCAGACACTTCGCCGACAACCCCCCCCTTTTCCTCCTAATCCTATGGGACCTGCTTTCAACATGCCCCCCAGGGCCCTGGCTACCCACCCCCAGGCAACACGAACTTTCCCAGTCAATCCTTCAGCCAGCCTCTGGGTCAAAACTTCAGTGCTCCAGGTGGGCAGATGATGCCAGGCCCAGTGGGGGATTTGGCCCCACGATCTCACCCACCATGGGACAGCCTCCCAGAGGGAAGCTGGGCCCTCCTTCTCTCCCCCAGCGTTTTGCTCAGCCAGGTGTGCCTTTTGGCCCTTCTCCTCTTCAGAGACCTGGTCAGGGGCTCCCCAGCCTGCCCCCCAACACAAGTCCCTTCCCTGGTCCAGATCCTGGCTTTCCTGGCCCTGGTGGTGAGGATGGGGGAAGCCCTTGAATCCACCTGCTCCCACTGCTTTTCCCCAGGAGCCCCATTCGGGCTCTCCAGCTGCTGCTGTTAATGGGAATCAACCCAGTTTCCCCCCAAACAGCAGTGGGCGGGGTGGCGGCACTCCGGATGCCAACAGCCTAGCACCCCCTGGCAAGGCAGGTGGGGGTTCAGGGCCCCAGCCTCCCCCAGGCCTGGTGTACCCATGTGGTGCCTGTCGGAGCGAGGTGAATGACGACCAGGATGCTATCTTGTGTGAGGCCTCCTGCCAGAAGTGGTTCCATCGCGAGTGCACAGGCATGACTGAGAGCGCCTATGGGCTGCTGACCACCGAGGCCTCTGCTGTCTGGGCCTGTGACCTCTGCCTCAAGACCAAGGAGATCCAGTCTGTCTACATCCGCGAGGGCATGGGGCAGCTGGTGGCCGCTAATGATGGGTGACACTGGCGAGGTGGTCCCAGGGAAGTGCACATGTCCCTTCCTGCTCCTCCAGGGTGATTGTCTAGCTCCTGGCCCTCGTTTCCGCTGGTTCCCCATCCTCACGGAGCAGAAACCTGATGGTTCCTGGGGGCAGAAGAGCCTGGGTTGCTCACTTTTCTGGAAACAACACATCAAGATCTACGGAGATCCAGGAAACCAAAGCCCTGCTGAGCAGAGCCAGCTTTTTTTATGGCTATTAGGAAGCCTAGGGATGTGACTGCAAGAGAAAAGGGGACAGGAAATTCAGGAGGGCAAGAGTGTCCTGTCTGCCTATGATGGATAACTAACACCTGTGCCTGACACCCCTGTTCTGCCCCTCAGCTCTAGCCTTAGTTTTTGGAGTGGAGCATTGAAGGTTTCTGGCTTGGGGAGCCGGTCTCTTCCCATCCCTGTCACAGCCATTTCATGGGCTCTGGGAGACCTCTTTAGGGAATAAATGGGGATTCCTCCTTTTTTCTACCTTCCCCTTTGCCTCTCTCAGACCTGTCCAGCTCCTCCTCCCTCAGCACCAAATAGCTTAAATAATGGAGTTCCCAGCTAGGGCAGTTTCTTGGTGATTTGGGGCTTCATGACAGTAGGTAAGAGGTGCTGTCAGGACGTAGCTTCCTCATACCAAAGTCACTGGTCTGAGCTTCCCATGCTTTTCTCTTAATGACCATATTTTTGCCAAAAAAAAAAAAAAAAAATTGGGACACGTGGTCTGAGGGACCAGAATAATTGAAGTCTGGGTTGTCCTGGAGTCTGGACTCTGTTGGCACCCCTGGCCCACCCTCTGTTGCACATTGAGCCCAGTGCTGTTCTTCAGCTTTTTGCGCCCTCATACCCCTGCCTCCCTGGCTTGGTTGGAGGAAAGCTTGGAAAGGTACCAAGACCTTATACCTCATTTCCTCCCTGACAGGAGCATCCTAGTGAGGCCCTGTCACTGCCTTGGGGGTAGGAGGAGTCAGCAGGATTCTCAATGCCACGGTACTAAAGGGAAGGAGAGCCTGGGAATTTTTGCTTCTCTYTTTCCTGCTATTAGGTATCATCTTGGGCCTGGTGATCTAGCAGTCCTCACTAGTCTCAGCCAAAGTCCTGCACTGGGCTTGTTTTTGTTTTCTTTTTAAAGCACTGCCTGCCAGCCCTGAGTCGGGGCATGGTCAGGAGCCCCTCTTGGCTGCTTTTGTTCCTTACAGCTCCTGTGTGCATTCCTCAAAAGGGCGGGGAAGGGAGTGTGGTCTGTGGTCTCTAGCCCTCGGGGTGTGGTGGCAAGACTACCTTCTGRTCCCTACTCCCACTTCTCTGCTCCCTGCACCTGGAGGGAAGATACTGCCTGGTGGAGCCCACAGCCTTTGCAGCTATGAGGAAGAGGGTGGGCCTCGGGCTTCTCTAAGCTGGTGTTCCCCACACCGAAACAGTGGAGGTGGCACCCCCAGCTTTGTGTTGTGTTTGTGGTTCTGTTTGCTTCTCCCCTGTTGCTACTTTTGTATGCCTCCCTCTCCACAGCTGTAAACCACTCCTGGGGAGTGTAGACGTCACTACTTTTTGGAAGAAAGTGGAGTGRCAGAGATGTGGGTGGGTTTTTTTTGTACGGTTGGGTTAATAAAATGACTTTAAAATCCAGGCAAGGACACATTGTTGTTTATCTGCAAAAAGGCAGGTTGAAACCACTGTCACTACTTGTAAGGGTGTGGTGTGGGTGGAGATGTGTACTTCCCAGGGCCCCTGGAAGTGGGAATGGCAGGAAGATCCAACCCCTTGGATCCACTGCTTCAAGCTGCTGAGTCAAGGAGGCCTTGCGTTGACACACCCCTCCCCATGTTCCTGCTCTGAGAAACCCATTTTCCTTTCTGAGCACATTCCTGGCCCGGGCCTGGAGCCAGGCAGGACAGTTGGCTCCAAGATCTCTGGGACACAAGCGCTTGAACTCTYCTAGGTTTAGGGCTCATCCTCTCCACCTCTCAGTCGTTTGTGTTGGGGTGAAGGGTAGCTTCCAGAATGAGGGGGGCCCCCCCATGCCTATCATCCCATCAGCTCGGGAGGCTGAGGCAGGAGGACCGCCAGTTCAAAGCCAGCCTCAGCAACAACAAGGTACTAAGCTATTCAGTGAGTGAGTCCCTGTCTCCTAAACACAAAATAGGGCTGGGGGTGTGGTTCAGTGGTCAGTGCCCCGTTACCCCCGCGGGGTGGGGGGAGGGAGGGGGAGCCCCACCACAACATCCTAGCAGGTTTCATTTTCGGATGTTTTTCGGACCCCACCCGCTTTTAAAGTAGCAGTGGCTGGAGCCGGTGGGAAGAGTGGCAGGAGGGCTGTTTCGTCTGCCACCCTTCCCTCTCCCTTCCCCCATCCTACAGCTGTCTCTGTCTATCCTGGGCCAACCTGGCTTCTTGTCCTTGTCATCTCGGGAACAACACCCTTTACCTTTCAGTTTTGGCTCTTTCCTCCAGAAATTTTAGGCACGAGGAAAGAGGGGAAGGCCACGCAAAATTCCATTTGCTGAGCCCTCGCTCGCCCATCAGGAGGTCAATCCCAGGTTGGGGGCCTGGGAGAGCTCCTCTGGCCTCCCCGACTCCCATTTCAATTCTTATTGGCCAAAAGTTTCCGCCCCCTTGGGGAAGTCGACYCTCCATTGGCCCGTCCCCGGGTCACGTGCCTCCCCTCTTCCCTTGGGCTGGAAACCTGGGGAAACAAGTTAAGCTGAAGCCCGAAGCCAGAGCTGGGTCAGGTAATGCCCCAGCGGGGAAGGGCCCCGGGAGATGGGAGCTAAGGAAAAGAGGGTAGAGCTCTAGAAGGACTGGGCACCACCGAGGACCCACAGAGCTGCCTTTCGAAAACCTAGAACTGGGGGAAGGCAGGGGAAGGTCATTTTCAAAAGAGGAACTGGCCCTAGGTCCTTTGCTTAGAGGTTTGGGGGGCAACTCTTGGGTTGAAAGTTAGCCTGAGGCAAGATTTGCTAGCTTCGTACAGAGTGGGAGAGCCCCCGCTTTGGCTGTTTTTTTAGAAAAGCAGAGTTTGTGACAATCCTTACAGGAGATTTTTATTGAATCCCTCCTGAAAGGGGATAGTGGGGAGGGAGTGGATTTTCTTCAGAGAGGACTGAGAAGAAAAACTCTGAAAACGCAGCAAGAAAGGGTGGAGATGAGAGAGCAGAAGGAACTTCCTAATAAGGCAGTGAGATGCTGGCTTGGGAGAACAGGGGTATCTTTTGGAATCTTGATCGAACACACGCAAGAGAGAGGTCTGTCAGGGTTTGGGACCCTGAGTGCAGGAGTTCCAGACTTCTTGTTTGTCTTGTTGACCCAAATACCCGTTGCTGGTTTCCATGGAGACAGTGGGTCTGACATCACCCTGGTTGCCATGGTGCTTAGTTCTGGAGGACCTGAGCAGGCTGTACACAGCCAGGGATAAACAGGGACTTCAGCCCAAGCTGCTGCCACTTCCTTCCTGCCACCACCTGTTAACAGTCACACGCAGCAACTGGAGATGGAGAGATGACAGAACAGTGGGGGAGGGACTGAGCACAAGGCTGAACAGCTACGGCTCTACAGATGGCCATAAAGCGATGCCCCGTTGACCTGTCGGACGTGGTGTGGAGACGTCACTGCAGCCTTCTCCGGCCTCCATGTGGGAAGGGGTGGGTGTCCTTCCCCCATCCTGAACTTGCAGCATRACTGGCAAAGTCACCAGGACACTGGCCAGGGCTTACTGCGAGCTCCACAGATGGGGCAGTCRCTGGGTTTGAGGGCAGAACTACAGACACCCCTGGCCTCACTTTTCCCCCGGTGTTTCCTTACAGTCATATTTGTTTACTGCCCTTCCCACCCCTGGGGAAGCACCGATTCATCTACCTCTGAAGGATCTCAGCCCAGGACTCTGAGGGGTCAGCTTAACTTTCACTTCACCCTTAGGCCTGGTCCCAGTTGCAGCCCGAGGGCACAGGGTTGGACTTGGATGAAGGCGGTTCCCTCTCCTCCTCTTTTTTTTTTTTTTTTAGCTGTACTAGGGACTGTACCCAGGGGCACTTGACTACTGAGCTACATCCCTGGCCCTTTTTATTTATTTTTTATTTTGAGACAAAATATTTTTTTATTTTTAAGTTACAGAGGCTGGCCTCAAACTTGTGATTCTTCTACCTCAGCCTCCTGAGTTGCTGGGATTACAGCTGTGCACTCCTACACCCGGCTAAGGTCCCTCTCTTGTGACCCTGTTTTACGCTTGGCTTTGGAGGCTGGAATAATGTGCTAGCCCCCACGCTGCCAAGTCAGAGCAGATTAGCGGAGGACAGGGCCAGAGTCCTGACTTTTGCCTATTTTTTTAACGTTCTTTATTTTTATGCAGTGCCTCACACATGCTAGGCAAGCGCCCCACAGCCCAGCCACAACCCCAGCCCTTGCCTGTGCTTTGCAAACTGTAAAGTGCTTTATACATGGTAGTTGCCACAGCCCCTTTTTCTCAGTCACCGTTCAAGTTTCCTAAGACCAGACCCTGCAGCTAACTAGTAAGGGGGGCAGAACTCAGGATGGAGACTGAGCATGGAGCTGGACTAAAAGTGCCTCCTCCAGGTGGATCTGAGGTGGGCCAGTGCTTCTTAACCTTGGCTGCAAGTGAGAATCCTCTGAGGGGTTTAAAAACAAACAAACCGGGCCTGGCCCACCCCCCACTCTGAATCAGATCCTGGGTGAGCTAGTGTGTGAGTGGTGTCCAGAGCCCTTGAGTTCCTACAGCGGGTGGGTGGTGGGAGATTTAGAGCCAGAGGAGGCCCTGCCAGGGGGTGGTGACTGAGGAGGTGTCTGGTGTTGGAAGTTGTCTTCATTCTTATGACCTGTTGGTCTTTGGCAAGGCAAGTCGGTTGACCTTTCCAAACTTCCTCTTCCCTGAGTGTAACCTCAGGGAGTTGGACTCTGCTCACCTGGGTCTTTCCAGCCCTGGATTCTTTGACCTTTCAAGGTCAGTTCGGGTTCCCAAGGCCCTGGGGGTCCTTGGAGGAGGCAGCTTCTCTCTGACTTGGGCAGGTGTGGATTTGCAAGGCAAATTCTGCCCCAAAGAGCGGAGGTGTCAGGATCAGAAGGCCTGGAACTGGCCTGGCTCTGAGGCTGCTGACCAGTCCTCATCCTTGGGACCCTGTCAAGGCTGCTTTCTGGGGCTGTGGTCGGGGCTCAGCGGTCGAGCACCCGCCTGGCATGTGTGAGGCCCTGGGTTGGATCCTCAGCACCACATAAGAACAAATAAATARAGCTACTGTGTCCAACTACAACTAAAACATAAATATTRAAAGAAAAAAAAAAGACTGCTTTCTGCATCCTGCCGCTCCTGAAGGAAACTGGTCCTTAAAAGAGGTTTTCTCTGCAGGTGGCAGCCCCAGCAGCCGCAGAGACCTCACCACTATGGCCACCTGCCCAGAAGTGGATAACAGCTGGGTGCTTGCTGGCTCAGAGGTAGGAAGAACAGACTTGGGGACCACGCGGGAGGGGACGCTGAAGGGGTGGGCTGCTTTCTGGGTGTCCCCTTCCTTGATCCTGGTGGTCACCTGTATCACC